CACTGACTTCTACCACTCTGTCAACCATTTGTTGTAAATCCTTAAGACATTCCGCTAATAAAATAGTGTCGTCGGCAAACTGTATATTATTTATTGGTCGACCATTTACTTTTATTCCCATAGTTAGTTCTTCTATAGCTTCCTGGATAATTTCCTCTGAATACAAATTAAACAAAGTAGGAAACAGGACACAGCCCTGCCTGACACCCCTCTCAATCTGTATTTCATTTGAAAAGACGTTGTTCTCTTTTACCACAGCGATCTGATTATAATAGATAGCGCTAATGATCCTGATGTCTCTCACATCTAAGATTTTGTTTTCAAGTAATTCAATAAGATGGATATGTCTAACTTTATCGAAGGCTTTGTTGGAATCCAAGAAACACATATATACTGGCTGATTAACATCCATGCCCCTTTGCACAATTACATTCATAGCGAACAAGGCTTCCCTCGTTCCCATTGTATTTCTAAATCCAAATTGTGTGTCACTTATGTCCTGCTCGAGTTTGTTGTGGATTCTCCGGTGTATAATTTTTAAAAATATTTTGAGCGTATGACTCATTAAACTTATTATCCCGTGGTCTTGGTATTCTTTTTCATTTGTTTTTTTTTTTGGCAGTGTTACGAATGTTGACACCAGCCAATCTCTAGGAATGATTCCTGTATTGTATATTGTATCGAATAAGTCGACGAATATTTCAATTTGCTGTTTTTCTATTATTAAGTTACAGGTATTTCGTCAGGACCTGTTGCCATGTTATTTTGTTCGCTCTGTTATCTTCTGTTATGTCTGGGCCTTTGTCGAACTTTTCCTGCTCTAGTACTATCTCAGTCCGTTCGTCTTTAAATAGCTCTTGGATATATTTCTGCCGTCTTTTAAGCCTTCCACCGACGTCTATAATTATTTTGCCGTTTTTATCTAGCAGTATGTTTGATTTTTTCTTAATATTAGTGCCCAATATTTTCCTAATTTTTTATGAAAGTTTAAGTTATCATGTTTCTCCACCAACTGTTTAATCTCTTCGCATCTGTCACTACCATCTTTCCTTTGCATCTCTGATCTTTCTCCTTATTTCTGTGTGTATAATATACATGTTTTTATCTTTGGTTTTATAAGATCTTCTTGCTTCCATGAGATCCAGAATCTCATCGGTCCTCCATTCATTTTTATTCTTGATCAGCTTAGGTGTTAGTGTTGTCTCCCATGTGCATATAAGAGCATCTTTTAATATATGCCATTGCCTGTTCGCATCTTCAGTAGGAATAATTTCTATTTTGGTGAGCTCTTCTTTAATTTTTAGTGTGAGTTGCTCTTGTGTTGATGGACCTTTTAAACGGGATACTTGTATCCTCTCTACTTTAGTTTTAGCCACAAGCTTTTTTAAATTAATTCTAAACCTCCCTACAACTGGGTTATGATCTGATCTCACATCAGCTCCGGGGTATAATTTTACTGATTTTATGGAATTTCGGTATCGTTTGCAGATGAGAAGATAGTCAATTTGGTTTCTGATAACGTTATGTTGGTTGTCTGCTGGAGATTTCCATGTGTCTCCTGGGTGGCATATCATAATAAGTATTCGCGATAATAAAATCGGTTTCTTGGTAGAATTGAACCGATCTGTCTCCTCTCTCGTTATGGATACCCAGTCCAAAGTTTCCAATAAAATCACCTTGACTTCCTCTACTGATTTTTGCATTCAGATCTCCCATGACTATTGTAACGTCTCTAGACTTGGCTACTTCTAAAGTTTGTTGTAATTCATTATAGAACTGTTTAAACTCTTCATCCGACTTTTCTGCAGTGAAAGCGTATAAAAAAGCCCATAAAGAAACCAAAACTTAATTTGAAAAAAAACAAAATTGGAAAAGCAACGGAAAAAATAAGAAATATATTCCAAAACCAAGAATAGAAAAAAGAGTAAGAAACAGAGGGATAGCAGTTAAAATGATGAAAATGAAGGCGAAGTTTGCATTTATTGCCCGGAACTGTATTCCAAATAAAAATCAGATGATGATTGGTTAATGTGTGCGCAATGTCGACTTTATACTCATAAAGCTTGCGTCGGGGTAAAGAATGATGGTGAGCCATACTCATGCGATTTGTGTTGGTTTTAAACTAAAAATTTATTTAATATTAATGTTATTAACTAGATCAGCAACTTGTTTAGATAACATCTTAACAAACATAAGCAGTGAGATAGTTGGTTGTGGAATTGTGGACCCGTGTATTTCTGATCATCATGCACAATTTCTCTACTTAAAAATAAAATCTGAAAAAAAACATAGTGCTAATCCATACAGAAGACATATAACAAGTAATGGCATCGAGATGTTAAAACAGTCGTTAAACAACGTTGATTGGGCTTCAGTTGGTTATCTCAACACAGCAACAGAATTAGCTCAATTTATTACCGAAATGTATGTTAAGTTAACTGAAATTAATTTTCCATTAAAAAAATTACGAACTCATAGTAAAGCTCCAATTTCTTGGTTTGATGATGAATTAATAGAAATGCGATAAAATCTTTCCACAGTCAAGATAATTGCTGATGTTACAAAGGAATATAGTGAGTATAAAAAATTTAAGAAGCACTATAAATCAACAATATCATTAAAGAAAAAACTGGCTTATGAAAATTTTTTTTCCAGTTCTGAAAATATATCTCGTGATAGTTGGAAAGTTATAAATTATCACAGAAATAAATTTCAAAATAAAAAAGTCTGTCCAAGCGCGATTACATCAAACGATTTCAATAATTACTTTACTTCAGTGGCTAAACACATTAGAAGTTCTTTTAATTCTACAAATGAAAATGTAGCCATAGATTTTTTGAAAGATGTACACTCTCCTTGCAACTCTTTATTTTTATTACCTGTTAGTGATACTGAAATCAGGAATGTTTTGCATAGATTGAAAAATTCACACTGCACGGATTTTTATTTCTTAAACAAAAAAATAATTGTGGAAACAATCGATATTATTATTGACAAATTAATTATACTTTATAATAATTGTCTTACTGAGGGGATTTTCCCAGATGTTTTAAAAGTAACAAAAGTGCTACCAGTGTTCAAAAAGGGAGCTTTAGATGAAATTGGAAATTACCGTTCCATCTCAATCATTCCCATTTTCGGCAAAATTTTTGAGAGTATTCTAAACGTTCGTTTGGTAGAATATCTAGAAAAACACAAAATACTTCACTGTAACCAATATGGCTTTAGAAAAAAGTGTAGCACTACACTAGCTATACAGAAAATTGTGAGAGATATAGTTGATGGCTTGGAGGAAGGTCATTTTGTGTCTTTGACATTGTGTGACTTATCCAAAGCTTTTGACTGTGTTTCGCATGAATTACTGTTGGAAAAAATGCATAAGTACGGTATCAGGGGAAACACTCTTAATCTATTTAGATCATACCTAACAAATAGAAAACAGGCAGTTTTTCTTAATAACAGCTATTCTGAGTTTAACACTGTCGAATATGGTGTACCTCAAGGTTCGATATTAGGACCCACTTTGTTTCTTATTTATCTGAACGATTTATTTTACTACACTTTTCCTATAAAATGTGTTTGCTTCGCAGATGATACAACTCTCATAAATACTGATATTAATCAGAATAATTTAAAAATTAAAATAGATAGTGATACCAAGAAAGCAAAAAACTGGTTCTCACATAATGGGCTAATGCTAAATGAAGAGAAAAATCAGAATTTGATTTTTAGTTCTGATTGGAAGTATATCTTAAGAAACAGTGTTAAACTATTAGGAATCTTTATAGACGATAATTTGGATTGGAGTGCTCATATAGATTACTTAAGTTCTAGACTTGCTACAAGTATATTTTTAATGCGCAACTTAGTTTATATGATTTCTAAAAATACCCTTAGAATGTGCTACTTTGCACTATTTCATAGCCATTTACAGTACGGAATAACTGTTTGGGGTAATTCTTCTTACGCAGATCGAATTTTTAAATTACAAAAAAGAGTAGTGAGGATACTTGCAAGAGCAGAGTATAGGGATCACTGTAAACCTTTATTTCTGGATTTAGGTATTATGCCACTACCTTCACTCTATATTTATAACACGCTGATTGAAATTCATGCCAACAAAGGTAAGTTTAACGTAAACTCCAACGTCCATGATCACGATACAAGATCTAGAGATGCTATTAGAGCACAACGTTTTAGGTTGACAAAGAGCGTAAAAAATTCGACTGACGTTAGTTTGTATAACTGTTTGCCAGATGAAGTAAAAAGTCTTCACTTGTTATCATTTAAGCATAAAATCAAATCACACTTTTTGAAACATTGTTTCTATTCAAAAACGGAGTACTTAAGTACAGCTTTTACACAATAGTACTAGTTTGGTCAGGGCAGTTGCCTATTATAATTATATTTCATGTTTTTTTTTATAATTCCACAAAGTGTGTTTGTCGTTTTTTTTTAACTGTTAATATTAAATACATACATGTTTGTAATGTTTAAATTATCCAAAAAAATTTTATATGTTTTATAAGTATTGTCACTATTCCTTTGACTTGTCAAAAACAAAACTATTTTTGTATATGTGATTAAATAAATTCTATTCTATTCTATATGAATATTGTTTTATTTTTCAAGTCAATATATTTAAGTTTAATATGGTCTTTATTAACATTTTTTACCCGACCAGGTGTACGGAACGGGATATTCTGCATTTAAAAAAAAATTGACTTTTTCAATGTTATTGTCAAACCATTTAGGCGTAAATATACTTAAACATAGAAAGCGATCAATGAAGAAATTAAAGTTAGGAATAAGTAGATATCAATAGCATAGTCAAATATTTATGAGTCAAATAACGTTAGCTATCCTATTTTGTCCAACCCTCCACTACGTGCATACAATTTGAATTTGTATACAGACATATGAATAAACCAATTCCCTAAATGACAGCGTTATATTTTCTGTCATAAACTGCCCATATATTATGAAAATATGTATGTTACCTGAATCTCTATCATCAAATTTATTATTTTCCTTCATATCTTTCAGAGCATCAATTACATCATTACGTCTCTCGGTATCTCTTCTACTCTTCATAGTATTTAGTACTATATTACAAAGATAGTTACTTGCATCAGTTGGTAAAAACTCCAACTTAAGTTTATTTACCCATTGCGGTTTTAAAACATATATCGTTTGAGAAAAACTATTGCGAAATGAAAGATCAAAACACTTATTTCCATATTTTTGAAAAGTGGAAAGATCTTTCTCATAATTGTGTGAGTCAATACCTAAAAAAATTAATAAAAATCAATTTTTATTTAGTACTTTAAAATTTTATATAATTATTAAAATCTATTATTAATAAGATATTTTAAAGTGATTAATAACTACGTGGTAAAGCAAACATACATTTTTTTTTTAACAGAATACCCTGTATATTTTCTCATATTTAAATTCCTTGTACAATTCCTGTTTTTACAACGTGGGGTTTAATAATATTGTATAGGATAATAAACGAGATATGACTATTTTTGATCCGAAGTCGCCACGAAATAAAAATATACTGTATATAAAGAAGGACATATACATAAATAAGTATTTATTTTACATAATAAGGTAAACAATACGTTCTTATTTTTAAATTAATCTTAACAGAAATCATTTACAAACATTTGTATACAGAGTATATAGCGTTTATATTATTGAAGACACTTTAAAACCGCAGATTCTATACTTTAAAATATTACGATTTAAGCCAACTTGCTTTAATAAAATGTTGATATTAAAAAAGATACAGGGTGTTAAAGTAGAAATTTCAAATTTTATTTTTCGCTATAACTTTTATGTTTGTAAACATTTATATACAAAAATTTACAGCTGGGTACCATTTAATATCTGGAATGATAATTTGATAAATACTTTGATATGGCTAATAGAGGGCGCCACATATGCCACATACGTGGCATAAATTTGCACTTAACTTTTTTGTTCTTTAAGTTACCGGTATTTAAAATAAAAAATATTAAAGATACATTATTTTAACAAAAAAAAGGTATACTTGTTAATAACTTCAAAACTTAATAGTTTTCGAGATAATCGCATTTTACAACTCAACTGCATAATTCTGATTTAACGCAATTACTCCAGGCAATGAAAGAAAAATAGATAAAAACATCAATACTTCTGAATTTTGTTATAAAATACCTTAATAAAGTCAATAATTAACGAAATATTAAATAAAATAAATATATCAGCAGGATAACCAATAATAGGATTTGATAACATAACAGAATAATTGGATTTTACATCAAACCAAATCATTATTTACAAACCAAATTAAGAAATAGTTAAACTAAATAACATTTTTGTCAAAGTATGTGTTCACAATGTCCACCATTTTCTTTAATTCATTTGTCAATACATTCCATAAAATATCGTCTCATATTAAATAGCGTCATTGGTTCTGAAGAAACTGCTGCAGTATTTATTGTAAGTGTTATAAGTATAATAATAAATAATTTGTTAAAATGTTTATGAATTAAATATTATTAATCTAATCTAATATATATTAAATATTAATATCTCATCACAAGAATATGACTACCATGAACAATCCAACGTTCAGAAAAGTTTAAAGAAGTATTTAAATACTGTCTCACTCCGCTTTCTCTGTAATGTAATGGTGTACCATCTTGTAGAAACCACATATTTCGCCTTAAGTTTGATGACAATTCTTCCGATAAATCAATAATATCATTTTGTAAAGAATGTAAATCCTCCAGGATCACTACGTTCACAACGATGTTAATCAATCTCACATTTTTGCATACATTTCAAATTAGAAGAACACATTGATAATAGGTTGCCAGTAAAAAAGTGGCAGCACATATTTTTATTTTAGTTAATAGTAATTAATTTTTACATAAATTTTATTTCTTTCATTAATTTTTTAAATAAAATACGCTGCTTATGACGTAAATGCATATATTGTATATCAAATTAAAGCTAATTTTTTGCTTGATATGATGACTAATTATAAAGCTGATATACAATGGTGTTAAAAAGTCCTACATCACCCAAGCGCCTTATAGTTTTTGAGGTGTAACACAAGTTTTTTATATATTTTCGCTAATTCATTTTAAGTTTGTGCTTGTAATTAGCGTTTTTGGTATACTTACTAATGGTTTTTTAATTACTAGCTCAAAATTCTACAGAAAAGATTAAAAAATAATCTGATTAAAGTAATTTCCCATAATCCGAGAAAATTATAAGGTGATTATTAAGTCGTTAAAGTACTATTAAATTGAATCTTAATGACAAATTTGTCACATATTTAAACTATATAAACACTGTAGTTACCCTAACACATTTATTTGCTCTTTGATTTTGATAAAAGGTCAAAATGTCATCCCAGACCAAACAAACTAAATTAACGGACGAAAAGCGTTTTGAAATTATTTTTCACCATAAAAACGAGAAATCTAGTCGTGAAATAGCATCCGTAGTTAACTGTGATCAATCTACAGTAATTAGAGTCATTAAGAAGTATGCTAAACAAGGATGACAGACCGCCTAGTGGCCGACCAAAGAAAACTTCTGTCTGTGATGACGCTGCATTAAGAAGAACAAGTCTGGCAGACAGAAGCTGTGGTCTGAATCTACAGGTGTAAGTGTGTGCACTTTCTCTGTGACAAAAAGACTGCTTATATTTGGACTTAGAGGATGTAAGGCACGGAAGAAACCACTGCTTTTAGAAAAACAAGGATTGCACCGTTTGAAATAGGCCAAGGAACATCAAATCAGGACAGCAGAGCAGTGGCAGAGCATACTATTTAGTGATGAATCCACTATTAATAATCATGCTGGAAATGCCTACGTCAGAAGATTTCCTGGTAAAGAATTCCTCCGTTATGATATGGGGTGGCATGTCCGCTCGAGGAGTTGGTCTCTGGAATGATGAATGCTACCAAATACATTGAGAAATACACTACAGAATAAGATGATGCGTAGTGGAAAAGACCTGTTTGGCGAAGAAAAATTTATTTTTCAGGATGATAATGCTCCTTGCCATAGAGCAAACTTGGTTAAAGCTTGAATGGAGAATAATGAAATTGATAGGACAAACTGGCCAGCGTAATCCCCGGACCGCAATCCAATCAAGAATTTGTTAAAAAGGATATTAAACATCAGTTCCACAAGCAAACCCACACATAAAACGCAATTAATCGAATATCTAATCCACGCTTGGCATCACTGTATTTCCATGGAGGATTTGCAAAAATTATTAAATACCATGCCCAAAAGATGTGAACCAGTTATTAAAAATAAGGGATGTCCAATTATATATAAAAGTTAGTTTAAATTACTTTAATGTGATGTACAATATCGTCTTGATGTAAATACCCTAATTTTTGTAATATTGAATAAAAAATTTTCCGAACTGCATTTTTTTATTTATCAAAATTTTTGCCGTGTTTTCATTTTATAATATTGTGTTTGAGTACTTGTTTGATGTATTAATTACTATTTATAACTGGGAATAAGCCACAATTAAAGATAAAAATACGTTTATTGACGTTTCAATTTCCAATTCGGAAATCGTTCTCAAAATACAGATTTGATTGTTTGATGTGGATAGTAAATGGTTAAAAATATAGTAAATGTCTTAAACTTCTATTTTCATGTATTTGGTAAGGCGATGCAGGACTTATTAACACCACTGCAAGTTTGCATGAGATAAAAGGTGCCGAAATATAGGGTTGCTAGCTGATAAAAACGTGAGGTATCAAAGATAAAATTAAATTAGGGCACAACGACACTGGTTTGACAAGTGATAACATGTATATTATTATATACAGTATATAAAACTTTTAGCTAGATATAGGTAATATACATTGAGGTAATTGTGGCAACTGCTCTTTCTTAAGCCCACTGCTGTTATCAAGGCTGACTGTTGGGAAACAATACAATTTTAGCGGCGTGAATATTTCATTTAATTTTAGAATTGAATTATTTTATTATAAATTAATTCTATCATTACGTCTCTTATGTGCCTTTGTCGTTCTGTGAATTTCATAATTACCCGATCTTACCTTACTGTTACGGAAATATAGATACGCGACTTCCTACCTTTAAAGCTTTTACCAAATGAATTTAGTAAAACCAACTGATTCATGTTACCTAGAAACTGGTATCGTGTGAGATTTCAATTTCAATCCATTTGCGTCATTGTGATTAATAATATAAACATTTCTGGCCTGTATATAAGAGTTTTAATTGCATTTATTTATCGTAATGCCGCCTAATATTGCGCGTCAAATAATCGTCCACCTAGATTGCTGAGAAAATTGCTTAGAAAAAGTTATGCGGTGAGGCGAATGATTTTTAAAGATTATGAGATTACTCTACAATGAATCGTTAAATTGTCAGTTCATTGTTTAGTCCAGAGTTTTCTTTTTTAAATTGGTTATATTTGTTCGTTATTGGTTTCTGTTATCTAAAAATAGTGAAGTTTAGTAGCATGTAGCAGTTGAAGTCAAGTTTGGAATAAGATTTTAAAGGGAAAAGATTTCGGCGTGTGTAGTCTTCAAAAGTCGGCAAATTTAATTTTAGAGCAGAATTTAAGCTCAAATGCAATGTGGCAGTTGTGTTAAACTAATCACCGAATGGTTATGTTGTGCCTTATCTGATAGATTTGTAAGACGACACTTCCAACCGTTAGAGTGGTCCACGTGGTTTTAAGTAGCCGAGTTTTGAAGATTTCAGCTTTTTATCATCCAGGATAATCCGAAGCCCGAATCCAGTGTCCAACTTTCAGAGAATTGTCTATTTGTACTCCATGGTAAATTCAGACCAATTGGCAATGTTTTGATCACAATTTTGCAGTCCCAATCCCTAAAACTTTCTTAAAGGAAATGTATCAACCAGAGTGGTTTTATGGAAATACATCAACCAGAAAATTATAAGTTTTATGGATTAGCTAATTGTCATATTAGTTTTCTTAAAATAAAGTTAACTGTTATCATGAAAATTAATGTTTCAAAAAAGTTTAATATTTCATTTCGACATATGACAGTTAGTATTATCTTTTTTGGACATTTGGTACCTAACCATAAATTTAAATTGTTTTGTTGAAAGTTAATCTCAATGTAAGCTCCGTTAAAAAGTCTAGGTATTTTCATTTTAATAATAATCTAAATTCCTGTAGTGCCACCAACGTCTGTAGCTTGTTTTAAATCGATACAAAGAGCGCCATTGTAAGTTTTGCGTTTAAATTTTGTTATTAATATTTGTAATAACGGTTTATGGTGAAGTAATATTGAAGAAACATGTAATGTTTCTCTCTAAATCAAGTGTAGAATTATTTCCCTTAAAAATATTTTCAACCTTTTATATTTTTTAGGAAAGAAAAGCCATTCTTACCATTCAGTAGAAAGATTCTTTTAATGGCGTCCATTTTAAATAGTTTAGAAAATTTCTTATGTGTGTTGCCCAGAAAGTCTATGTAAGTATTTTTTGATTAATTTCTTTGTAGCTACTTATTCCAGTCTCTTTTTATTCACTTACTTACGACTCAGCTCTCCAACTAAACCAAGAGTGGACGTTCACAGACGTTTCGGTTTATTTGTCTACCTTATGTTCAGACCAGTAATGTATTTCTCCCGTTTTAACCCCCTATAAGTTATACCCAATGTGGTAGGCAAAATTAAATCATACAGTTGATAAGTGAATATGTGCTGCAATGCGAAAATACTACTATGAAATTCATACTTGATAGATAGATACGTTTAGATAGATAGGTTTATTGACAATTTTTTACATAGTAAAGACTACATGTCATGTCACAATAAAAATAAGTCACTTTTGTATATTAAGAACTAAGAAATAATACAAGAACACGTAATAAAACATAGACAGTGAAAATTAGATATATAAAATTATAAAAAAAAAGAAACAATTCAAATGGTCTGGATAATATCTTAGTGGGAATTGCATAACCGGTAAATGATCAATGAATTGGCAAAAATGTTATTTAAAACATGCAAACAGATTTTGCAATCAGAGTTTATTGTTGTTGTTATAGTATTAATGTTTCAAAAAATAATTTGGTATATTATCTGGTCCCGTAGAAAAAGAGTTTCTGAGTTGACATATACCATTATAAAAATCAAAGAGCTCAGGCAATCGGCATGTGGATGAATCATATTCTTCTTCTTCTTCGCGTGTCATATCCGAATTATTCGACGTAGGCGATCACCATTGCGAAGGCTTCTTGGTCTTCTGCAATATGAAATAATTGTCCTGCATTTGATATCTGAATCCATTCATGAATGTTTTTTAACCAAGGAACTTGTTTTCTTCCTACACATCTACAGCCATCTATGTTGCCTTTAAGGATCAGTTGTAATACATTATATCGATTTCCCCTTACTGGATTTCCCAGATAAGACATTTTTCGATGATGACCAGTCTTTAGCAGTTCTCTATCTTTGTTGATGCTCCTTAGTACTTGATTAGTTTTCCTTGCTGCCCAAGGTATCTTTAACATTCGTCTATTGCCTCCACTACACATCGGCAGACGCGTCTACGGACGCATCTGCAGAAAGACAGAAAGACAGAAAACCAAGGTTACTGATGTAATCCATAGAAATGAGACATTTAGCGAGAAAAATTGTCAATAGGTGGTCCACTATGTGTGCACTAATATACTATGGTATCTAAGAGACATCAAGAGATCAAGACGTCCAAATTTAAGATGGGACTATGACATAAGGATAATATCGCTATTGTAGACCAAACGCCAAGAAGATATAATTGCAGATCATGGCACAACTATGTAACTGTTTTTAAAAAATTATTTCTATTTTTTATACAAAAAATAATAGAATAGTCCAAAGAAATTTATTTAGTACAGTATTTAATAATTTAATAACTCTGAATATCAATTTTTAAATAAATTCTTTTCCTTACCGAATGCACATTGAGAAATTATATCCGTACTGAATCTAGAAGCAGCCTCTTTGGCATCTAGAATTCCTTCGCATCTTTTTAAATAATCCATAAAATTAAGTCCACAAGTTTTAATAATCGGAAACATTTCTTTTAACTTTGTCGGTGAAAAAATTGGCGTTAAATTAGATCTGTCCTGTTTCCAAGTAGGACTTTTCTAAAACACATAAAAATTTATTTATTCAAAAAAAAATCTGTAATAATTTTCATTTATTTAAATTATTGGCGCATGTGTAAGGTGATATTTTTTTATAAAATATGATGAAATGTTTATATCTTCTTCTTTGAGTGCCTCTCCTATCGGAGATTGGATATCATTATGGCGATTCTAATTTTATTTTATTATATTATTATATTATATTTTATTATATGGTATAATGTTTATATGGTAAAGTCCAATACAACCGAACATGTGTATTTTCCCGATTATAAATTATAGTATATTACTTTATGAGGCGGAGAAGCTTGACTTTTCCTGACGCGCCCGATATTACGCGCCGAACGAAGTGAGGCGCGTAATAGAGGGTAAGTCAAGAAAAGTCGCTTCTTTGCCGAATAAAGTATACTATTTTTTCTTCAAACGTAGAAATTTTCAACCATAAATAGTACAATTCATACGCTATTTTTACTCGAAATTAACTGTGACAACTATCAAAGTCGTCTAGATGTTAGAAATTAAAATAATTAAGTCGTCGGTGGGATTTGCGTCTCCCTTGATATTGTTACGATTTTAAATGTTATGGCATATAGAACTGTAAATATTTTATGACTAATTCTTTTTTTATTGATTCTCGTAATTTGTAGGTCAAAATCTACCTGAGCTTCGATACCAGTTGTTTAGATTAGAATATAGACAATAAATTAGAATAAAGACAAACAAATTAGAACAATAAAAAGACGTAACAGTGGTGTCAGAAGTGGGATTTTAGATAAATTTAATTTGAATTTTTGAAAAGAAGTGAAATTGGTGAACAATGGCTACGATTTACGAGCTCACAGTTACGAATCTAAGAAGGCATCTTGAAGACAGAGAATTAGCTTCTACCGGAAAAAAGACAGAGTTAGTCCAACGACTAAAGAAGGCTTTGGAGGAAGAAGGTTTGAATCCGGAAACTTATATATTTGAAGACAAGCATGCTGCTGTCATCTCGTCGATAGCCAAGGTTTCTGGTGACATCGCATCATTAGAGAACAAAGTTTCTTCCGACGTAGCCAAAATCTCTGGTGATGTAGCCCAAGTTTGCAGTGACATCGCCTCTTTAGAAGACAAAATTTCTAACGAGATCTCTTCCCTAGAAAGCAAAGTTTCAGCTAACATCTCCTTGGAAATCTCTAAAGTCACTTCTGAGATGTCTGCTCTCGACGATAGAGTGTCTTTATTAAAAAACCAAGTTGCTGCCGATATGATGGCCTTCGAAGAGAAGATATGGAAAGAGTTGGAAAGGAAGATTGAGGGAACAGGAACAACAGAGAGAGTAAACAATCCAATTACCATCGAAGACAAAAGAAAGATGAGGCTCTTCAAGAATATGAAGTAGATATCGCCAGATTAGTGCGATATGCTTATCCAACAGCTCCCGAAGACATGATGGAAAAGTTGGCCGTTCAAACGTTTATTGATGGTCTTCGTGATCATGAGATGCAAAGAACACTACGATTAGCTCGTCACAAGACGCTGGTTGATGTCTTATCCGCCGCCCTCGAATACGAGTCAGCTACGCAGGCCTCTGGCGGTTACAGTAAAGTTAGGACTGTAAAAGAGGAAGAAGATGAAGATAAACTGGACCAGCTCGTTAATATGATGAAAAGCATGACATACAAGAAGACGAAGACCATAAGATGCTGGAATTGTGGCAAAATAGGACACGTACGAAGTTCATGTAAGCATCCCAGGTACGACACAAATCAAGAAACTCACCATCAGGAAAACTAGAACGGGTCGGCCTTAGGGGGGCAGCTTCGACCCAGAACTTTACCAAAGACCCTCTGATACTAATAGCTTCTTTGAAATGTCGTGAAGATAGTGTATATGTAGATGGAGAAATAAATGGTAAAAAGCATACGTTGTTGGTGGATACTGGAGCGACCAGAACCATTATACGCCCGACAGTTATAAACAGCCGAAAGAAACTGTTACCAACGAGGTTGCGACTTCGGACCGCCACAGGTGAAAATGCCAACATTCATGGAGAAATCCAGGTACAATTAGGAATTGGAGCAGAAAAGTTCGTCCATACTGTTATAGTTGCTGACATCGAAGAGGATGTTATATTAGGAATGGACGTAATGAATACGCATGGATTCCAATTGGATTTTAAGAATAAGGTAATCAAAGTTGGTAACGAGGAGGTATTTCTCCATCCACATGATGACAACACTATGCAAGCAGCCGTTAAAGAAGATACAGTCGTGCCTGCGAGAAGTGAAACGATAATAGTAGCGCGGCTACAGGGAATTGTGGACGAAGGAACACCTGTTATGATGGAGCCTTGGAATCATGACGACGAAGTTGGCCGTGGAATCATAATTGGAAAAGAATTAGTGACTTCGGCTAAAGAAATTCCTGTGAGACTTATTAATGTCACCATCAAGTGACCATCAAGAAAGAGACAAAAGTAGGAACTTGTGTACCTGTCACATCCATAATCCGTCAGACGACAACGTCTGATAATTCCAACGATAAATTTGATCAAATGGTTGCGGTTGCTGGACAGTCTCTGAATCAGATTGAGAAAAGGAAATTAAGGGAATTTCTTTGGCAGTATCGTGATATTTTCGTACCGAAAGGAGAAAAGACGGGAAGAACTACCGTTGTTAAGCATAAAATTGATACTGGTAATGCTAAGCCAATTCGTCAAACAGCTCGACGATTACCACAGGCGAAAAGAGAGGAAGCTGAAACGATTGTTCAGGAAATGAAGAAAGACGGGGTGATAGAACCTTCTACGAGCCCATGGGTCTCTCCGGTGGTGCTGGTTAAGAAGAAAGACGGAACAACGAGGTTCTGTGTGGATTACCGTTTGCTGAACAACGTTACCAAGAAAGATAGTTATCCTCTGCCTCGGATCGATGACACATTAGACACATTGGCTGGAAGTAAATTATTTTCTACTTTGGATTTGAAGTCTGGATACTGGCAGGTAGAAATGGACCCGGTAGATAAAGAAAAGACAGCCTTCACCACAGGATCTGGATTATGGCAATTCAACGTTATGCCATTTGGACTTTGTAACGCTCCTGCGACATTTGAGAGGCTTATGGAAAATGTGTTGAGAGGGTTATCTTGGAAAACATGCCTAGTTTATCTAGACGACATAATCGTCTTGGGGGAGACATTTGAAGACCATCTGAAGAATTTAGAAAACGTTTTTAATCGACTTAAAGCTGCCCAATTGATGTTAAACCCCAAGAAGTGCCAGCTGTTTCAAGGTAAAGTCAATTATTTGGGTCATATAGTCAGTAAAGAAGGAGTGGCTGTGGATAAGGGAAAAATCGATTCCATTAAGGAATGGCCAAAACCAACTGACAAACATCAAGTGAGAAGTTTTCTTGGACTATGTACTTATTACCGGAGGTTTATTAAGAAGTTTGCAGATATCGCTAAACCGTTAACGCGACTTACAGAGGAAGCAAGAGAATACCGCTGGGATGTAGACTGCCAAAATGCCTTTGAGACCTTAAAAAAGCATTTAATCACAGCACCAATTTTAGGGTATCCACTGCCAGAAGGAGAGTTCATCTTAGATACAGATGCAAGTAATGTGGGAATTGGAGGAGTGCTGTCTCAGATTCAAGGAGGACAGGAAAGAGTCCTTGGATATTTTAGTAAAGTTCTCTCAAAACCTGAGCGAAATTATTGCGTCACGAGAAGAGAACTTCTGGCAGTAGTGAAATCAGTAGAGCACTTCTATCAATACCTCTATGGAAGGAAGTTTTTAATCCGAACCGACCATGCCGCCCTTAAGTGGTTGATGCAGTTTAAGAATCCAGAGGGTCAGATAGCCAGGTGGATCGAACGACTCCAAGAATATGATTTTAAGATTGAGCACCGGGTCGGAGTTAGCCACCGAAACGCCGACTCTCTTTCCAGAAGGCCATGCCCAGCAGAGTGTTCTCACTGCAACAAAACGGAATCCAAGGAAGCAGCAGTGCTAAGAACGACGGTGGTCCACGACGACTGGACGCCTACCAAGATCAGGGAAGAACAAGAGAGAGATCCAGTTATACAGAAAATCCGAAAATGGAAAGAGGAAAACCGTCGACCACCTTGGCAAGAAATATCGAATCTAGGCTCAATAGTTAAGACGTATTGGGCCCAGTGGGACTCATTTATCATGGAAGATGGCTTGCTCAAACGAGTCCTGGAAAATGATGACGGTTCAGAGAAGAGAAGACAGTTGGTGATTTCAAAGAGCAGAATAGCCGAAGTACTTCGTCAGTTACACGACAGTCCATCAGGAGGGCATTTTGGTGTGAAAAAGACCCTTCAGCGAATTCGGGAACGGTTTTATTGGATGAACAGTTCCGACGATGTAAAAGACTGGTGTAAGAAATGTACTAGTTGTGCTACGAGTAACGGGCCTTATCGAAAAAGGAGAGCTCCTATTAGACAATATAATGTTGGAAGCCCGTTTGAAAGAATAGCTTTGGACATTGCTGGGCCATTTCCAGAAAGTGATAATGGAGGCAAGTATATGTTGGTAGTAATGGATTACTTCACTAAGTGGGTCGAGATTTACGCACTTTGTAGCATTTTAAATTTGATTGATTCTTTGAAGTATATTTAAAGTCGCCTCGTATATGAAATCGTCTTAATAAAACGAAGAATGTTTTCTGTTTTTTTGTTCGTATCTTTCGAAAAGTGTTTTCAATCATTCTAACGTCGTAGAGTAATAAATCCATTTAATTGTTGTTTATTTTACTGCGGCGATTTCTTTTCATGTAAATGCGTTTCAAAGGATATCTACGTCGTTCGTTGGTTTTGCTATTTCAGCAGTTCGTTGATTTTCAAGTTAAGCGAACAAATTTTTAATTTCGTCACTATCGGTGGAGCCGCTGTCAAGGGCAGTTGGTTTCGTTTGTTTAGTCCGAATTTTCATCAAATTCGTAATGTTTTTTTTGTTATTAGTTTTTTTCATCAGAAGTATTGAAGTTTGG